ATTCACTGCAAATGTGAAATACAGCCAGGACCCACAGAAGTGCAGAAGCTGTAAAAACCTTGGAAGAAAACCTTAGAGAAAAACATCCCAGCAATGAATGTGGAGATAGTGTAGATGATGAAAAGTACAGCAGATAAATAAAGGAATTTAATGAGAGAAGGGGACAGCTGGGGCTGAATAAATGAAGGCAGGGAGGGAGGGACAGACAGAAGGAGGGAACATACCCGTGTGAGAGGACTGGAGCTCAGGGGTCCCCAGTCCACACTGTGGACCCCAGAGGCTGTGCTGGGGGCTCTCCACGTGGTCTCTGGATCCATTTTCGGTTGATATTTGTTGCTGTCGAGAGGCAGGGTCCAGTTTCATCTTTCTGCAGGTGGACACCGAATTTTCCCAGCACCATTTATTAAGGGGAGGGGGTAGGTTATCGGGGAGTGTGCGAGGGAGGGAGTCAAGGGGAAGAAGGAAGGAGCGAAACATTGAAAGGACCCGAACTGGGAAGACACCTGTGCATTATATTCATGGCAATGTGTTTGATTGGGCCAATGTGTCGTGTGTTCATGACGGGAAAATTTATTTGCTATGCTAGAATGAATTCGTGATTACAGGTATAAAAATAAATAAATAAATATCATAAGAAAAAAGAAAAGAAAGAAATGCGATCCCCATCTTGGATCCACTCAATCAGGGCTTGGTTGCTCAGAATCTGCCCCAAGGTCTCCAGGAGAGTCTCATAAATATGAACGTCACAGAAGAAACTCCACTTTAATCTTTTTGAAAGTATTTCCAGGGGTTTCTGGGTAACATTCCGGTCACAGGACATGACCCACAGTTCTGTTCACACTTCCAAGAATACTCAGAAGTGAATTGAAAGCCTCAGGTCAGTGCTGAGAACTGGGACTTGATGTCTACCTGCAGCATACCGGTAGGAAGAATTTCTACACACGTGGGTTCCTAAACATGGACTCCGTGCCCGGTGGGAGAGTCCCTGTGAGGGCGTCCATCTCCCGTGGGACTGGCTTCCACAGACCCCCCTCCCCCTGCCGAGCTGACTGGCGCGTAAAGGAACATGGAGAAACTGGGGCGTTAGAACACAGTATCTTTCAGTGTTTCTCTCCAGATGAGGTTTTGGAAATTGGACTTGCACAGCTCGACGATGTTTGTTACAAAGTAAGTCTTTACCAAAATTCACTGAACTGATGTATTTCTGCAAAACTAAAACTGACAGCTCGTTCCACTTCTACCATGATATTAACCTGGAAGGGAAAGTTATAACCTGGTGGGAATTCAGGCTGGGGAAGCATTTTGTCACCTTAGGCTCTGGCTGACACCTTCCCAAAGCCAGACACTCAACTGTCCCTATGGGCTATGCCTGCCCTGAAGGCACGTGTGCCCCAGGAGGCCTTTACTAGACTGTGCTGGGGGCTGAGGCCGTGTGGTGTCTGTGCACATGTTCGCCCCTGCTGGGAGGGAGACTGTCAGGATCACACAGTCACCCCATAGGAATCAGATCCTTTGTAATGAGCACAGACAGGGCCTGGTGGGCTGCAGGGACCAGCTGAGCTCCCAGGTCTCTGGGTGATGAGGCCCTGTGTGCCCACAAACAGCAGGGGGCGCTGGGGGACTGCCCTGTGGTTTCTGCACAGCTGCTAAGTGAGGATATTTGCCCAAAGTAGCCTGTGCTTAGGGCCATCCTGTGCTCCCTGATGGGGACCCTGCAGCTGTGTCCTCTCTGACTCACACAGTCCCCTGAGCAAGGCCCTCTGTGCTGTCCCAGCAGGTGCTTCCTCCCAGGGGTCCCCAAGGGGTGGGGCCAACCTCCTTTCCCCTCAGTCTGCAGTGTGAGCTGAGCCCCAACCCAGGGCTCAGGGAGGGGCTGGATAGTCACTGGATGGACACACATTTGCATGAAGAGCCCCTCCTGTGGCAGAGAGTGAAAAGAAGAGGCCTGGGACAGCCCAGCCATGTGGGGACCCAGGGGTTGTGTCCACCATGGCTTGGACTTCTCTCCTCCTCATGCTCCTCTCTCACTATGCAGGTTGGGACAGGCCTTGGGGACACAGGGCGGTCCCATCCTACCTCATTCTTCTGTGACTGAGGCCCATGAACATGGTCACCTTGGTAACTGCCTTATCATTCTCCTGTGTCTGTGTCTGCAGGTTCCCTGTCCCAGCCTGTGCTGACCCAGCCGTCCTCCCTCTCTGTACCTCCTGGAGCATCTGCCAAACTCACCTGCACCCTGAGCAGTGACGTCAGTGTCAGTGACTTTCACTTACGCTGGTTCCAGCAGAAGTCAGGGAGCCCTCCCCGCTATCTCCTGCGGTACAAGTCAGACTCAGACAAGTACCAGGGCTCCGGGGTCCCCAGCCGCTTCTCTGGATCCAAGGACCCCTCGGCCAATGCAGGAGTTCTGCACATCTCTGGGCTGCAGCCTGAGGA